AACGATGTGTGCAAACAAAACAAATCAAGTCAAAACAAACTAAGTCAAAACAAATCAAATTTGCAATACTCGCGGGAGCTGCCGAACGAAAGCACAACCGTTCAGTATGAATGCTCGAAGTACTGTGAACACCAAAAGATGGAATATCCCATCAATAATAGTTATTCATTATACAAGGGAACGAAGTATTAGAATATAGAGCTTTGAATTCAAAATACAGAACTAAGAAACATTGTTAATGCACCTTGGTACGTTCGAAATAGTGATCTACATCGGGAACTAGGAATTGATACTGTAATAGAGACTATAAGAAAGTACGCAAAAAGCCATGAAGATAGACTGCATCGGCATGTGAATGTGGAAGTGATTGAGCTCCTAGACAATACTGAGCTAGTTAGAAGACTGAGAAGGGTGAAGCCGTTCGAGCTAGTGAACTGAAATTGAAAAACACAACAAAATAGTGCTATAAACACATCAAAATTGTGATTTACAGTTTAAGCAAAGTGGGGAAAACTGTTGAGTGAACCTCAAGAATTGTAAACTTTTGTAGTAAATTAGGTTAAAACAAAATTGCTAATTAGTCTTACTGACTAGATTGTAATGTAATAAACACAATGTGTTTGACAAATAAAAAAAAAAAAAAAAAGATTTTAGAGCGAGATGTGGTCTGCCTCCCGTCGCGAAGCCACCAACAATTAAGGTGGCTAAAAAGCACTGGGAATGCTGGAGGTGGAACAGGGGAAATCGTTATCTTTCGTTCTCAAGTCAACCTTAGAGTTTTTCTAGACACTTCATTATATTGCATTAAAATTGGCCTGTTGTTGACCTGTCAAACCTGTATATAGGTAGTTCATTTTTTGGCCATGCCATTAGCTTATTTATAAGTTTGTTTTGAGCCGTGTGAAGATAACAATGGGTGGTATGAATGAAAACGAAGTAGGTGCGTGCTACTACAATTATATGGCCATCTCCGATGATTCATGATAATTGTAATAACAATTAGTCATAGTCTAGCTCAGCATTTATTCTTTTATATAAATTCGAGCAGAGCAATAATAGTTTAGTTCTTTAGTTTGCTTCACTGAGTTCACACGTTATTTATTAAGTAATAAAGTTTTTTAAAAACATAAGTTATATATATAATTATCGGTTTATAACGTTCTACGTCTTCCGATTCCCGATCTCCAACCATCTCTGTCAATCCAGGCATCCTCTTCTAGGCCTCTGTCCTTCCATTTCCTCGTCTACACCACTTCTTCAGCTTCTTCTTGGTCTGCCGCGTCTTCTTCTTCCCCCTGGCTTCCACTCGATTATTTGCTTGGGTATTCTTGTATCTGCCATTCTTTGTACATGTCCGAACCAAATCAGCTGTTTGTCCTTTATATCATCTATTATTGTGTGTTTTACGTCCATAATCTCCCTAATTTTCAGATTTGTTATCCTCTCCATTTTTGACCTGCCTGCCGATCTCCTCCAAAAGTCCATTTCAGTTGCTTCCAGCATTTTTGCGGTTCTGATCTTTAGTGGCCAGACTTCTGAACTATACGTGACTATGCTTTTGACTATGGTGTTGTATATTCTTGTTTTGTTAGTTTTGTTGATATTTTGATCCCACAGTACACCATTTAGTAGGGATATTGCCTTGCGTCCTTGTATATTCCTATCTTTAATTGCTTCGTCTAGGGTTCCCTCGTGTGAGATTTTCATGCCCAAATATTTGTATTCAGAACATTGTTTTATTTCTTGTCCGTTATTCAATTTCAGATTTCGTTGTTCACCTCCTATAGTCATATATTCTGTTTTCGTTAAATTTACTTCCAAACCCCATTTCTCGTATTCCTCTATCAATTTTCGTGTCATGTACTCTAGGTCATCATAGTCCTGTGCAATTAATACTTGATCATCTGCAAAGCTTAAAGTATAAAGATTGTATTCATTGAGCGGTATTCCCATGTGTCTGCATTTGTTTTTCCACCCCTTAAGCACTTGTTCTAAGTATATTTTGAAAAGTGTTGGTGATATGCAGCATCCCTGTTTAAGTCCTTTAGTTGCTATAAAGCCTTTACTGATTGAGTTTCCCTGTTTAATCTTGGTCTTTGCATCACTATAGAGCGTTTTTACTGCCTTTATTAGTTCTAAGTTGATATTGGTCTTTTCCAGTGCTTCCCAAAGCTTTTTCAGCGGAACATTGTCGTATGCTTTCTTTAGATCGACAAAAAGTAAATGGAGTTCTTGGTTATAGGCTAGTTTCTTTTCCATTACCTGGGTCAAACTGAATAAATGGTCTACAGTTGATCTTCCTGCTCTAAAACCGGCCTGTTCTTCTGCCTCACTATCTTTGTACTCGTTCTCTATTCTGGCTTTTATGAGTTTTCCATACACTCTGCTCAGCGTATTTGTTACTGCAATTCCTCGGTGGTTCTCGCATTTGTTTCTGTCTCCTTTCTTATATATCGTTGTTAAATAGCTTACTTTCCACTCTTCCGGTACTTCTTGTTTATCTATGCATGTTTGAAATAGTTTTGTTAAATGTTTGTAGAGTTTATTGGTCCCACACTTTATCAGTTCTCCATATATTTCTCCTGGGCCCCTGGTGCCCTACCATTTTTCAAGAAGCCGCAGTGTTTTTTAACTTCTTCTTGCATAACTCGTATTGGTGATCCTGCAGTTTTTATGTTTCGTGTCTGTTCCCTCTCTTCTTTAAACTCTGCCCGCTGTTCTGTCAGTAATTCTTCAAAGTACTCTTCCCATTGCTGGGGTGTTATTGTATTGATAATATCCTTAGTTTTTGTTTTTCTCATGTTTTTGAGTAATCTCCAACTTTCTGTGTTTCTTTTACCCCCCAGATAAGTATTAATATGCGCACAGTTTCTTTCCCATGACTCGTTCTTTTTGTGTACAATTTTATTCCGTACTCTTGCTTGTGCTTCTTTATATATTTCTTTGTCTCGTGTCTTATTTGAACTTAGATACTGTTGGTATTTCTTCCTTTTATCTTCTATGTCTTTTTCTATTTCTTGATCCCACCAATAAGGTGTGGGCCTACTTCCCTTTTTTTCATATTTGCCAAGGGCTTCAAATGCTGCACTGTGAATACTGTCTTTGATATGTTGGTAATGAATTTCAAGGTTTTGGAAGCTCATACTACTCTGTAATTTTTGATCTAATCTCTTCATGTACAACCCTTTTACGCTTTGCTCTTCTAGAGATTTTAGGTTGTATTTCTCAGGCACAATATTGTCTTCTTGGGTTTTCATTCCGTTTTCTTTTGCGATGTTTCTGCCCGGGATAAAGATTTTTGTTTTTAGGAGGTAATGATCGCTACCACAGGTCGCTCCCCTATATGCTCTCACGTCCTGGAATTTTATGTTCGAGCTCTGTTTAGCGATAGTGTAGTCAATAATAGATTTTTGTTGTCTAGTTTCATTTTTCCATGTGTACCAATGTATTTCTTTATGCTGAAAGTAACCGTTTAGGATTTTTAGGTTATTTTGTTGGCATATTTCTATGAGCCTTTCTCCATTGTTATTCGTTACATTCTCTCCGAATTTTCCGATCACCTTGTCGTTGATTTTTCGTCCTGTTCGTCCGTTAAAGTCTCCCAGCAAAATTATTTCCCTTGAAGTTCCTACTTTTATGATTTGGTCACTGAGTTGTTGGTAAAATTGATCCTTTATATTAACGGGTTCGTCGTCGTTCACTCCATATATTCCCAAGATTGTTATTTTCCTTCCGAATATACATACATTTAGTTTTATTATGGTTTCGTTTACTGCTTCCCATGATGTTATATGTTTTCTCCATTTTCTATGTATGAAGATCGAGACTCCTTTCTTCGCTCTGAGTTCTTTTTGAACCCCGCTAAAGAAATGATCGTACTCTCCCAGATTTTCTGAGCCCTGTCCTTTCTTTTTGGTCTCTGTGGCGACAAGCAGATCCATTTTTTGATATTTTATCTCTGATATCACTTCATTCAATTTTCTAGAGATTCCTTGGACGTTCCATGTACCGATACTCATTGTCCGTTTCCGTTGCCTAGTTCGTCTTCGTTTTTCAGTCCTGTTCCGAGGCTGTTGATTGGGTCTTTTAACAGTTTAATTTTTTTTCCGAGTAACGGGGAGTTAGCCCGATGCCTCAACCCCCTACCAGGAGGACCAGGTAATTTGTGATCAAGGTTGTCTTCCTCTAGCCTTTGATGATTCAACATCCAGCTACAAGGCAGCAGCTTCTTTGCCAGTTCACTTCCAACTTGATGTTAATTGATTCTGGTGGCTACAGACGGTATGGCTGGCCGAGCATACCATAGCAGGGGGTTTAAAAGAATATATGGTCTCAGGCAGCAATAAAAGTGTACCCCTGGTCTGACCTGAAAAAACATAAGTTGCTTAATTTAAAACATAACTCTACTACAAATATTAGTATATGCTTCGCAGTATTTACTTCAGAAAGAAGCATTTACTAATTTGCGGTAGTTTCGAAATGTAGTATCTACTTACCTACTTCATTTTGAAGTAAATACTACGTAGAACATACTAATACTTGTAGTAGTAGCAAGTACTTCGTTTTTATTCATACCACCCAATGACACCATTTTGTAGAGAAGAAAGAATCTTGAATCTTCCGAATGAACACTTTTTTCCAAAGTTAATAGATTTTGAAATATTCATTAAATAATTTAATTTTTTTTTTACATTTTCCCTTATATCTGGGCAACAAATAAAAACTTGGCAACCCTGTGTACTTACCTTCAATGGATACTAAAATCTGCCACTTTTATCTAATTTAACCTACTTCGTCCCTCTTACTGGTTCGGAGATAGCAATAGTGGTATCACTTAAAACGGACACCCTGTATAAAGCAAAATTAGAAAGAAAAAAAAATACATAAAAGATGGGCCCCGGGATAATCCTTGCGGGGGGGGGCCCGAATTTGAAGTTACGCCACTGCTTAAACATGATGAAAACTGCGAGTAACTAATCGTCGCGTATACAGTTCTAATTTCATGAATCATTTTTAATTCCTGTAGATGTGAAGGATTGAAACACTTTATAGAAAGTTTCAGGAGCGTCTGTTGTCACAAATAAAACTTCCGTAACTTCGAGCTAGAAATTATTTATATTTTATTCAATAATACTTTAAATTTTATTAAATATTTACATCCACAATAAATACCTATTTTAGGCAACCAAAACAATAAGTTTACAATTTCAATTTCACCTAATATGGTCGCCAAATTATCACACACGAAACACAAAGGAAAACTTACGTAAGTAGGTGCTGTCTAATAATTAAATTTACGAAAAATCACAATAATTTTACTGTTCAAGCCAGAAATTTGGGAATTAGTTCCATTTCAGTACAGGTAGGTATAGTAAATAATACAGAATTTATTAACCATAATCTCAAGACAGGAATGAAATCATCATACAATCATACTTTTTCAACTAATAGTTATTTGTTTTACTAGGCAGAAAAGTAAAAGATTTAATGCCGCGGCTGGTGTTCCATAGCCGAGGCATTAAATCTGCTTTTCTGCCATATAAAACATATAATTTTTTTCTCCGAATGTTCAAATTCACACCAAATACTAAATTAAGTGAAATTATTACCTGGAACGTTGTGACACTGTCACTTTTAATGCCTAGGCAGTAAAATTCCACTTTTACTGCCTAGGCAGTAAAAATACAACTTTTGATCCTGTCAAGTGTCATTAAAAAGCCGCCTTTACTGTCATTCGGAGAAAAAACTAATTTAATTTTCTTTTACAAATCTTGACAATGGTCGCGTTCACCAGCACTCAACATGTTGAGTGATTAGTCAGCGACTTTGTTCAAACAAGTGGAATTCATAATGTAGAACAGTTTTGATTGGCCTAGAGCTGATTTTCATCTCTTTCAATAAAGCCGCTGACTAATCACACAACATGTTGAGTGCTGGTGAAGGCGACCATTGTATTTTTTTTTTAGCTAGAAGCAGGACTGCCAATATCTATAATAAATACCACAAAATAATAATAGGTTTGTTCGGACTTAGTTCAGAATCAGTTCTGAATTGAACTGCGCACGCGCATTTGTTTATTTATGTTCGATATGAAAGATTTTACAGCCTGTCAAAGTTGCAAGAAGTAAATTTTCAACTATCAATATTTCCAAAATAGTTGAATTTAGGTATAGGGCATATTACAGGAAATCTGCTCAAAATGTTATGTAAAATCCAAATATGCAATCACATACCCCATAAACGGAGCACCCTGAATGTAAATTCAAAAATATATTTAACTTATGCATATTAGAGCATCAAACAACTTTGTAATTACATGTTTTTTTCTGCATCACCCTGTAAGAAGCTATCGTTCGATATCGCACCAAGTGAACACCCTGTATATGGTTTAACTACATATTTCTTATTAAGCCGTTTTGGAAATATCGGGCTCTAAACTAAGAAAATAATACATTGAAACACCTTGGTAGTTGGTGCATTGTTATTGTTTGATATGACACAGGTCTTTCAGTGTATTATTGTATTATTTTATTGAAGTTTAGAGCCCGATATTCCCAAAACGGCTCAATGGAAAAATACCATATACAGGGTTAGGTACTAAGAGCGCGGTGGTCCATATCTCCTATACTAACATAGAGATCGAAGAAAAAAGTACATACAAAACTTATAGATACACATGAGTACTACATTCCTAAATTATTTTCCAGTATACAGGGGGCCCAATAAGTAGCGGTAACACAAAATTATGTTTTTTTAAATGACTAGCCCAGGTTCCACGGAAAATTCTAGACCTATTTCATGAACAATGTCATATACACTTATCTTCAACTGTTTCGGAAATATTGACAGTTTATAATTGACTTTTTTGCATCTTTGACAAACTGTAAAACCTAAACGGGTAATTTTAGAGGAAAACCGATTTCACATCCACATCATTTGACATCAACTTTGAATTTAATACATGATTAAAAATTCCGCTTAAATTTATAATCTCCGGTTAAATTCAAAGTTGGTATGAAATGATAACTTATGAAAATCAAAGATAGAAATGTAAAATTGGTTTTCCTCTAAAATTAACCGTTTAGGTTTTACAGTCTGTCAAAGATGCAAAAAGTCAATTTTAAACTGTCAATATTTCCCAAACAGTTGAACTTAGGTATAGGGTATATTACATGAAATCTGCTCAGCATCTAAATATGCAATCACATACAGGGTGTTTCATTTAAAATTACAAAGTTCTGTTGCATACCCCATAAACGGAGCAGCCTGTATATTTAGAAATATCTTTAACTAATGCATATTAGAGTATTAAACAGCTTTGTAATATAATTTTTTTTTCTTACATCACCCTGTAACGAGATATCGTCTGATATCGCACTTAGTGGACACCCTGTATATTTGAAATCAGAAAATTCGACTTTTCCAATGAAGTCATATACAGGGTGATTTACTTAGCCCGTGCATTAGCTTGTAGGTGGATTAGATGCTATCTCTATTAATCCACCTGCAATCTAATTGAATTTTAATGCATGGGCTACGATAATCACAGTGTATAGGGTGTTCCATAGGAAAAAACTGACCATCTGTCAAAATTTGACATTATTAATAAGACAAAAACATTTTTGACCTTGGATTCGAAAATTTCAGGTAAAACCCCAAAGCCTTTGTATTTATAATTTTTTGATATCTCTTCACATAACCCCTATAGTGACCGACAATATATGGGGAAAAACCTGTACATTGAAATCAGTCACTTACTTCCATCATAATTTGGCAACGGTTTCGCCATCACAGCTAATATTTTGCGTTTATTATACCTGTTTAACCATCTCTCTTTTCTTCGTCCACTTCACTTCAATTTTTTCTCGGTCTGTCGCATCGTCTTCCATCTGGCTTTCACCTCCCTCAATGATTTGATTTGTCATTCTCGTATCTGCCATTCTTTGTACATGACTGAACCATCGAATCAGGTTGTTTGTCTTTGATATTCTCTACTATTGTGTGTCTTACGTTGATAATTTTATTCTCTGGATTATGATTGTGTATAAAAATGGTATACAAAAAAAAAACAAAAACCTTGAAGTTTAGAACAAAATTAAATAAAACACAAAAACTAGACTCTATTTTCCTCAGAGGTAATGAACTATGCTTAACTAGTACTACTAAGTTTTTAGGTGTTAATATTGACGAGTTTTTAGACTGGTCTTGCCATATTGATTTTCTTTGCAATAAACTAATAAAACTTGTTTTTGTATCTGAAGTGTTTCAAAATACCTGAATGAAAAAGCCCGCAGAACCCTGTATTTTGCCAATTTCGAGGGAACAGCTAGATATGGTATAATTTTTTGGGTGTGTAATTCTGGGACTCTAAATGTATTTACAATACAAAAACGTATACTGAGAACTATTTACCAAATGTTCCCTCGCCATCTTGTCAAGGGATTTTTTAATCAAAAGGCATATGAGGAGCGAGGGGGTGTTTCATATGGCAAAAACAGGTGTGACGTCAGGTAACCATTGGCATTCTAATGTAGAGAGCCACCAGCTCACATTCCGTCCGAGTATCAGATTAAAATCGACGGACTTTACATATACACGTATTTGAACTTATTCTACGTGTTTTCAAAAATAGACATTTGTATGACAATATTATTACCAATAATTATAATACTCGCACCTACAATATTTTGTGTCCAGTTAATAGATTAACCTTATCTGGAAGAAGTTTGCACTCATGGGAATAAGATTGTTCAATAAATTAGACAACTGTATGAAAAATATAAAAATTGAAAAAATGTTTAAAAAGAAACCTAAACAAATAAATGTTAATTGACTTAGAGCCTTATAGTGTAAGAGAATGACCTATATGATGTATTCTCTCCCTGCCAAACAAGATGGCTACCAATGCGAGTGTCGCGGGAAATGTTCCCTCAAAAAATCGTGAAAACGCGATGAAAAACCCAAAATTAATTGTGTGCATTGTAACAAAAGTTCTTCCAGTACCATACAGTGTGGAAAATATGAGAAGTGCTTCCATCCTTCATGTTTAATTCAAGCTGCCACCTTAAAATCGGCCGTGTGCCGACACGTTCCTATGTACGCTTATGAAGAGTCCTGGGGGCCGATTCTCGGGCCAGGGAGTAGAGCTCCCCGAAAGAACAAATTTTTCGTCTTTATCATTCTCGTTTACTTTTCGATTACGTTGACAAGGACAAAACAGTCGTTCTATAGGGGAGCCCTACTCCCTGGCCCGAGAATCGGCCCCCTGGGAGACAGAGAAGAGTCTCTATTTAATGATTATTCAAGTTCTGCAGAAGAAAAACCGATTGCTAGCAGAAAACAACGATCTTTTGAAAAAAACTCAAGAAAATCTCGAAGAAAAGGTAAACAAAGCTGAATGCCAGGTTAGGAGATTGTCTAAGTTCCCGCCTAATTTGCCATTGTCTGTCACCGCCGTCACCGACAGCCCCAGTCGCCCAAGCCAAACGCGGGGCGACTCTGAGGTTATGGGCATTTCTTCTTTTTCGTCCGCTGCAAGCAAGGCCAAGCCAAGAACACCAATCTCAACCGAAGCAACCTCTCGGTTCCCGGTTAGCAGCACCAACAAAGAACAAGAACAGATTGTGGATCTAACCTCAGAAAACAATGGTGATTGTCATCGTGCCAAAAATAAACAAAAACATAATGCGAATAATAATAAGGAAAACCAAGACCAAATCACTTTATCGCAGGTCAACAGCCATTGCATCGGCAATTAACAACAAAAGTGAAACATCGACCCTAGATTACACCAACAACTACGTAAACAAAAGTGATGCAGAATGGACTATGGCAAAAACACGCAAAACGAAAAGACATGATAGCTTGAACAAGAACAAACGGCCTACACCAGCTATAGGCATAAACGAAAACAAAACAAATCTTAGAGTAGTGGAGTTTGCTAATAAAAAGCAAGACCCACTATCTTGGATCTTTGTCACCGGGTTTGATCCCAAAACAAAGGAACACGATATATTGGAATTCCTTAAGGACAACAATCTAAATGAGGGCTGTCGTTGTTTCAAAATGATAACAACGAAAGACAATATAAAAAGTTCTTTTAAACTTGGTATCCCAGCCAATAAACTAGAACAAATAATGGATAATGGCTTGTGGCCGACAGGTGCACTTATAAACCATTTTCAAAATCTACAGCGCCCCACTGTTTCCCAACCCAACCAGAAGTAAACACTAGGCAGCAGTTAGCACTATTTCATTTGAATATCCAGTCAGTTAGAAACAAGATAGATGAACTCGATGCCTTCCTTCATGATATGACTATTGACATTTTATGTCTGACCGAACACTGGATGTCAACAAGTGAAATTTCGGCCCTCTGCATAAAGGGGTATGTATTGTCTACATCCTACAGCAGATCCCAGGTCAGTGGAGGGGGAGCAGCCATCCTTCTGAATATTAATGTGTTGTCTAAAGAAATTTTACAAGTAAAATCCTTGACCAAAGTAAATAATATAGAAATCTGTTCTGTCTTTTTGACTGATCTAAATGTTTATGTAATAACTTGTTATAGACCTCCCTCAGGTTGTTTTGATATATTTCTGGAGGTTATAGAAAATGCGATAAACTTGATAGGTTTCAGTAAAAATATTCTATTAGCAGGTGACTTTAATGTACATTTTGGTAACACTTCACGTGAGTGCATTGACCTTTGCTCTTTGCTGAATTCATATGGGTTCGCTCAACTCATTTTTGAACCGACTAGGCAGGACAGTTGTTTGGACAATGTGTTCGTTAGCTTTGGTGCTGATGGATGCAATTCTGAAATCATTGAAACGGGACTATCAGATCACAGAGGACAGCTGGTAAACTTTCCTGTACCTCAAAAATATGCAACGTACACCACTGAGACTGTCATATGTAGACCGATAACCCAGCAGGGTAAGATTCTTTTTTATATGTGTGTTGATCAAATTTCTTGAGATTTTGTTGATAGAATGGATCTTTCCGCGAATGAAAAATTTGCACTATTTTTTCATCATATTTCTTTGGCATTCGATACTTCATTTCCAGTTAAACATCTTAAACGTATGAACCAAAGCCACACTACAAATTGGTTTAATGAGGATCTTCAACAGATGCGTGACACTTTGCAATTTTTGAGAGAATTACACACTAATAACGCACAGGCATTGAACTGGCAAATATTTTCGAGTCACACAGGAAATTCTATAAAAAAGCAATAAAATCGGCCAAAAAAGCTTCTAAGGACCGATTGATCCTAAATTCTCCTAATCCTAGCAAAGCAATGTGGCAAATTATAATTTCCTCCTAACTACTTTAATAATTTTTTTGCGCATATTGCTTTGAACTTACAGAGCCAAGTTAACCAGGCTCTAGCTGACCCTACAGAAAATATTCCTACTTTTTCTCATCATCCATTCACTTTGGGTCATGTTAGTTTTGTTGAAATTAGGGATGTTATTAATCAACTCAAAAATAAAAAAAGTAAAGATCCCTTTAGACTTTCTGTTGAATTGGTGAAAGGCATCAGAAATCCTATAATCTCTCCTCTCACAAAGCTCATTAATAGACTGTGAGATAGGGACTGTTTAGTGGAGTCATTTTTTTTTCTCTGGCACTTTGAGGGCTGAATGTGGCTACTAAGCTAATGAGAATATGGGTGATTTTAATGCCTGCCTCCCGTTCGAAAATTTGCAAAAGAAAAAAATTTCTTGGCTTCTAAATAAAAGATTGATATTGATAAATAATTCACCCATAAAAAATACCAGATGCTTTTCAATAGCTGAAAAAGTGGGGATGAGTGTCAACTTCCAAGAGGAAAGAAAAGAACTTTCCGCGTTTATTTTTTGTCTGGTAATCGAGAGAATGGAAGGTTTTGTTGTGAAAATATCGCTGAAAAATCGCCAGACGGTAATCCCAGTTCGAAGTCGAGTTTTCCAGCGAAACATTCTGTGGACATTTCGAACAGGTGGCAGGCACTAAAACCACCTATATTCTCATCAGCTAACTAGCCACATTCATCCCTCAAAATGCCAGACAAAAAAAAAATGACTCCACTAAACAGGCCCTATCTCACGGTCTATAACTTCAGTATCAACGAAAACACTTTCCCTGATATTTTGAAACAAGCAGTAGTAATTCCAGTTTTCAAAAAAGGTGACGCCAATGATGTATCAAATTACAGACCTATCTCATTGCTGCCTATTTTTTCAAAAACATTCGAAGAATGCATGTCTTTGAGTATTAGTAAATTTTTGGAATCTAATGAACTTTCTTACAAGCAACAGTTTGGCTTCCGAAGGGGACGAAGTACAGCTCTTGGAGTGCTGGATCTGGTATCAGCTATACATGAGGCCTTTGAGGGGCGAGGGTATCTGGCAGGCAGCTTTTGTGACTTGAGTAAAGCGTTTGATTGTGTGGAGCGTGAAATACTTCTGGCTAAGCTTCAGAAATACAACTTTAATCAATCCAGCAAATGTAAGATTTATTTATATGACTTGTGTAAGGTACAATTGTATTTATAACACCAATAAACTATTTTGATTTTGATTTTGTTATTTTAACAGTTATGTTATAGCTCAAAATCTATTTCTGTCTTTATTATGACGTAAAGAATAAACAGTGACAGATAACTTAACGTTGCTGTTAAAATAACAGGAAATGATACATCATAGGCCTGAATATTAGAATATGTTATATGGTGATCGTAATAGGTTCTTGGGATAATTACTACTAGATACTGTTAGTAGATCTTCTGTATTTCCTTTTGCGTTGACGCCATTTCATTTTGTTTTTTTTTTTGTACATGCATTATGTATAAACTAAAAGTAATTTGAAAATAAAGAAATAAATAAATAGATAAATAAATAAATCACTGAAAAAGAAGGCAAATTTCCTGCTATTTTGGTTTTTAGAAATGTTTATGACGTCATCAATCAATGGAGTATTGAAGTATTTTTTGCACTAGTACTGTAGATAGTGCAAAAAGTAGTTATATTTTGCACGTTCGTTTAAAAAAGTTTTTCAGTTGGCTATAGATTATTTGATTTATTTATATGTGATATTATCCTCATTTCATTAATGGAAGGGCAAAGCTACTTACAGCTCTAAGCCTGGTACAAATTGACCACTGACAACACATTGGTGAATTATTCCACTAACAAATCCATCCTGTAACACACTTAGATCACAAAATCAAAACGCATTCTAATTTCATTATCACATTTTGTCCTATGTTAATGCGGCCAGTTCTTGATCGAAATTAAAAAAATTAGGCTAACAAATCATGATTTCAAAAATGTCTAGGTGCATCAATCATCGTTTACTTACTATACCTGTATAAACAAAAGCTTGTAAAGCTAAAATTGAAATTTCAATATTAAAATGTTCAACCTACCTACCTACTCTAACTATCATATAAAATAAAACAATTTTTATAAATAAACTCCTGCAGGGATATTTCATAAATATTTGTACACTCAAAATGAAACCCAACAAAAAATAAAAACTACCTCAAATGGGCAAAAAAAAAGAAAGCGTCTCATTTTGCTTTGTGTAAGATTCACGGAGAGCAAATTAAAATTCCATTTGAGTGACAAAATATTTGTCTACGTTATTTCCGTACAATAATGTCAGTCTTATTATACACACCATAAATCTAAAACTTTACTGAATGTTCATACTCTTTGTACATTTTTCTTTTGACCGGCCGTTTTTCAGGCAAACGCCTCTCCAAATCGTACAGGTGCTCACGATGATGCATCTCCGAGGCATGCGACTAGAACAAAGGTGGCTACTAGGAACGAGCGTTAATAAATTTGATGATTCTTTTCATTTTTTTGGTTTCCATACTAACAAACTAAATTAAAATTGAAAAACCAAAACGCCAAAAACCAAAAAAAAGAATAATGAATATGAATATGAATGAAAACGAAAAAAAAAAAAAAATCCTGCACAACAGATCATTCTCAACAAATTAATAATTATTGCTTACCAGTTTGGTGGTTATATTTTTAGGGATAGGCTCATTTAAGGCGTAAATATGCTCCCTAAGTAGCTGTCGCGGCTTCAAATCCTCAAATAATATCTGAAAAAAAATTATGAAATTATTATTTTTAACCAGGACAATTAATTTTTAAACTAATGATAGAAGTTGAGACTATTTATAAAAATATTTTGCATCAGTGTCTCGACGTAAAAAGTAATCCTATCCAGGCTAGTATTCACAATAACTCGATTTTTTATCTCAAGGCCGCTATAAAAGTAGGACCAAGAAGGGCAATAATTACAAGGAATGATATAGATAGGGAAACTTTCAGAAGTTCTCTTTTTACTACTAGTTACTAAAACTACTTCACAGTAGGAAAGCACTTTTCACTTGTCACCGACGAGTCTCTTTGTTGTCTTCATTACTTTACATGTGAATTATATTGTAACTCAATAAAGACCCTTTTGTTCTCCCAAAACATAAGTCAAAATTAATTGACGATGCTGGCAATTTTCTTGTGTCCTGACCAGACTTGAAAACTTGGCCAGACATAAGAGATGCTTTAAGAATTAAATACGAGCAAAAATGCAAAAGAAAATATTTTTGATTATCTTGAGAGACTTAAACTTCTTGTGCATAGAATTACATCAAAAATAATGAGTAATACAGATCTAGCGGCGGTTCCACACGTCCTAGTCGCACAAAATGAGATTACTGCAGTTCAAAATTTGATAATAAATTCACCAGTTGAACTGCGTACCATATTAATGATTCGCAATCCTTTTTTTTTAAATTATCATTTGGCAGAAAATCATATGAAAAGTTTAACACAAATATGAACAAGTCACATCACCAAACTCATAATCAAAAATTTTCATTCAAACCAAATCCACACACTTCTTATCAAACTAACAAACCCAATTACCAACAAACATTTTCCAATAATAAACCCCAATTTCCATCTCAACCTATCAACGTTTAGACAAAACCAAACTACCAACAAAAATTTCCAAGTAGCTCTGGTACTTTTGGAAAGTACTTTTCCAAACAACAAAATGTGTTTACTAAAAACAAACCAAATCAACAATTCTCCAAACCAACGCCGATGTCTGGTGTATCAATTCAACCTCGTAGACAAATTTCCCAAGTGTATAGACCACAGCAAAATCAAGCAGGTCCGTCTAACTATACTACTCAAAACGAAATAAGGACCTCTTTTAAGAGCACCTTGGTTTTTATTAAATTTTGAATAACCCTGGTAGGGTGATTATTTCGATTCACAATATAGATAAACAAATAAAGTGTGCACAAAAAATTTATATTGTGAATGGAAATAAACACTTTACCAGGGTCATTCAAAATTCAATAAAAATAAACGTGTTTTAAAAGTGGTCCTTATTTCGTTTTGACTAGTATATTTTAGACCAAACCCAAATGCTAATCCACCCAGATACACGATCGAAGAAATCAATATCATTCTTGAACAAAGTTTAGAAGAAAATCCTAAACAAATCTTGTAGATGAAGAAAATGATTATACTGATTATTCTCTTAATCAAGACGAACAGTCCAATATCCAATAATGACTATTTCACTGATTACAAGCAACAAGAAAATTATTGAGAAAAAAAATTTCAACAAACAGCCTCGGAACAAGACAATCAGCCTTAACTTTAAACAGTTACAAAATCGATCAATTACCTTTTATCGAAATACAAAATCCACCTTGTAAACTCCTAATTGATACTGGAAGTCATGCCTCTCTTCTAAGACCTTCCATTGCTGAAATGTTTTATCCAAATAACATAATAAACTCACATAATAAACTTACTACTTGTATGGGAAATATAAAAACGCAAGGAAAAGTAATTGTACCTATCTTACAAGAATTCAATATCGATAAAAATGTCGAATTGATAAATTACAACTTCCACGATTATTTTGATGGGAACATCGGAATAGAAACCTTATTATTTTTCCAACATGTGTCTTTCAAATAATGAAGTTACAATTCCATTCCAATACAGGACTGATTTCCATAATCAACTTTTAGAAATCCCTGCTAGAACAATGCAAATCGGTTATTTTAATACTAACATAACAGAAGGAACAGAAATTCTAACTCCATTTATAAATTCCGAAACTTACGTTATTTTACCAACAATATACCTATCTATTTTTACCTGTATGCGCGCGCAACACGAGGCAATGCATTTTTATTGGCTAACTAGTACAGGTGTGAAATAATCCTTTCGCACGCTGGGTATCTCCTTGTCCTTGTTCATTGCCCGTGGTCTGACAGGGATAAAATTATGCTTGATATTCAACTTGACGTAGCTTGACAAGTGATTGATTTTCAATTGTTTGTGTTTTTGATTGACAAATACGTTGCACATCACGCGGTTTTCCTCCTTCCTTTTTTATCCCGCGCAAATAATAAGAACGGATTGCTATACGTAAGTCTTACATAATTTGGTACGTTTGCCTCGTCTTGCGCAATAAGCGTTCTGCGTCTTTTTCTATCTAATAAAGTTTTCGTATTATTACCTCTTTGTCTGGTAAAATAGATAGGTCTATTGTTAAAGTCAAAAATGGCATTACGATTCCATTAAAAGTACATAACCATACAAACGAATCTGTTCACTTGAATTATCATATCGATCAACTCGAAGATAATTGTGATATTCACGGAGAAGACAATTTTGAAATCTTCAACATGGAACAAATGCTATCTCAATATTCCAATCATCACGTAAATAATCCCTTGAATCTTCTACGAACTGATCACTTAAATAAAGAAGAACTGAATGCTTTACAGCAATCAGTTACGTTCTTTCCCACGATATTTCATAAACCAGAAATAAAGACAACAGACGAGATCCCTGTTCATGTAAAAACTTATCGTTACCCCCACGTTCATAAACAAGAGGTTAATGAACAAATAAAAAAAAGATAAAGCAAATATTATTAGACCGTCCTCAAGCCCTTGGTCATCCCCCGTGTGGATATCCCCAAGAAACTAGACGCTTCAGGCAAAGAGAAATGGCGAATGGTCATTGACTATCGCAAACTGAATGAAAAAACCATTGATGACAGGTATCCATTGCCAAATATATCTGACATTCTGGACAAGCTTGGCAGAAGCAATTACTTTACAACCTTAGATCTAGCTTCTGGTTTCCACCAAGTGGAAATGCACCCAAGTTCAATTCCTAAAACTGCTTTTAACGTAAAAAACGGGCATTACGAATATACACGCATGCCCTTTGGCTTAAAAAACGCCCCCGCCACTTTTTAAAGAGTAATAGACAATGTTTTATCCGGACTAAAAAACAAAATATGTTTAGTCTATATGGATGACATCATTGTTTACTCCACTTCTCTCCAAGAACACATCAAAAATCTGAAAAGAATATTCCAAAGATTGGAGCAGTTCAATCTGAAAATTCAACTAGACAAGTCAGAATTTCTGAAGAAAACAGTCGAATTTTTAGGTCATGTTATAACCCCCGAAGGAATTAAACCAAACCCGGAAAAAATTGACGCCATCAAGAAATTCTCAATTCCCAAGACCACTAAAGAGATCAAATCATTCTTAGGATTGATTGGATACTATCGTATATTCATAAAAAAACTTTGCCAAAATCACTAAACCTATGACGTTATGTTTAAAAAAGGATAAGAAAATAATTCACGACTCTGAATTTATTCATAGTTTTGAAACTTGCAAAAATTTACTCACGAATGATCCTATTTTACAACATCCAGATTTTACCAAACCTTTCCTATTAACTACAGACGCATCTAACTATGCTATTGGCGCTGTACTATCACAAGGACCAATAGCTTCCGACCTTCATATTGCCTATGCAAGTCGCACACTAAACCCTGCTGAATGCAATTATTCGACGATAGAGAAAGAATTATTAGCCATAGTATGGGCAACTAAGTATTTTAGACCCTACTTGTTTGGACAAAAATTCACAATACTATCAGATCACAAATCACTCGAATGGTTATTTTCCGTGAAAGATCCTGGCTCTAAGTTAGTCAGATGGAGACTCAAATTAGACGAATTCGATTATACCATCAAATATAAAAAAGGAGCCTTAAATATGAATGCAGATGCATTATCTAGACCCCCTTTATAGGTCAATGCTCTCTCTCATACGTCAAGTTCACATACTGAATCAGACTCTGACGAAAAATTCCACAAAACCCTAGGAGCAATTTTAAAAGATACACCTTTGAATAACGACGAAATATTACGAAAATATTTCGAAGGTACTAATCTTTTTATGCCCCAAAAGTTAAATTACCCATCAGTAAAGGAAAAGAAATAAGAATAAATGATGAACACGAAAACAAGTGACTTTCAGAATCTACTATAACAGCTGATTCACCTCGTAACCCACCTCGTGATTCACCTCATGGTATGACTATACCACAAAAACCACCTCCAAAATTTAAAATTCTGTCCCAAATCATCTTAGCACTAAGACAAGCTCAAGAAAATCTTCCACAAGATGCACAAAAAATTCCTACGTCACTTGAAAATCCTATTTCACCAAGACGACCTCAGGGAAATTCTCCAGAAGACGCACAAACCATTCATACGTCATTGGAGAATCCTATTTTAGGAGCTCCCTATACCACAAAACATCAACCTCTTTCCTAATCAAGTAATTTTTAGGTAATCGAATAACAATACCATTCGAAAAGAAATAATCACACCTTTCCCAAACATAAAGAGATTAACATTGTTCCTACCAAACGACCCTTCAGACTTACAAGTCATTACACTGGTAAAAGAATACATGTCACCTAATACATATTGTATGTATTTCTACAATAAAACTCTAGAGCCTATAGTTTTACGAGTTTTACAAACATCGTTTAATTCTAATTCTTTCAAACTGTTAATTTCCAAGAGAACATTACAGACCCTGAAGAACAGAAAGAAAAGATACTACTGGCCCAACCTTGAAAAAGACGTTCAAGCATATATAAAAGCATGTGAGATATGCAACAAAACGAACTACGAAAGGCAACCCTATAAAATAATTTTCAAGCCTACCCCTATCGGATCAAGACCCTTCG